AAAATACACCAGAAGTAGCTCTGGAAAGTTGGAAGTTTTACCCTGTGTTCCACGCGCATTCCACAGCCCCCAGTGCAAATCTTCCACTTGACAGGAGACACCGATACAGACATCATTTTCCCATCCCATGAATGGTGAGCCTAAGGAGGTTCTGATACACTGACTGCAGACTAATGGAGTACCTTAATCCAAACACAGTGTCACACCATCAATACCAACACTCCAGCTGCACTGATAAAAACTCCCTTCCAGACAGAACTCTACCAATTAGTGTTGCCTTATCGCTCCATCAGTTAAAATTATTAACTGACAGCAACAAAGATACTGAAAGGCAAGAAGACTTGGTAACAGCATGATCCTGAAAGGTGCTAGCATCTGTATAGGTTTTTGACATATTTGAATAAGGCTCTATCTATTAAAGAATTATTATGAATCTGATAAACAGAGGCCCAAGTCTTCTGCTGCCAGAAAACTTTGGTTACCCCTGCTGTGAGAGAGACCTTTTTATCTCAGAAAGGCACCACACAGAGTGGGGAAAAAAAAAAAAGGAGAGCCTTGAAATGGACATAGATTTAGAGCAACAGCCTCACCATAGAGGACATATAGTGTTCTGTGGAAACAGTATGTGTGGGACAGACAGAACTGACAGCATAAGAAATGTAGTTTTCATTCTAAGAAAGTAGAGACTCCAAGCAAGATACAGAAATGCAGGAATGGCTTCAATACAAATACCATGGAGGCTGCAAGTAGTTCAAAACTTCTGGATTTAATTGTAGCTTAGTCCTTTCAAGACAGCAGCATGAGAGAACTAATGGCTACGCTGCGAGAGGCTGTGCTTTCAAAGGGTGGCTGGAATTACAAGAAATGAAGTGATGATATGACACAAGGGAATACCAAAGTGGGCTCACCTCCTCAGAAAGCTGGCACTAGGTACCTGCGGAATGTCACAGAAGAGAATGTGGAGGTTGCTGGCAAGTTTGGGTTTACACTAGCAGTGGAGAGGTAGACTTGGAAAAGACATGGAGATCTACACACCTGTCAAAGTGATCAAAGTGATTTTTATTCCAGAAGCTAAAGAAACTGGGTCTAGGATGTGACAAGGCTGTGCTTTTTGAAGACTAAGGAAGCTTGAATTTTGGGACCAAGTAGGTTTGAGGAGAACTGTATGGAAGAGGACACAGGAAAGGAAACATCTGGGAATAATGAAAGAGAAGAGGAGCAGAGAGAAATTCTGATGTTTACAAAGGAAGTAGAAGATTTAAGCACTGAGGATCAAGCACAGGCAGACACTAAAAGCTAGACATATCCCCAGGGATAAGAGAATTAGTAACTCTCTAGACAATGCAGGCCCCTTGAACTCTGTTGTTTACATGGGTTCACTGGAGTCCTACTAGGATACAACCACAGAGATTAGAACCTGACAGTTCTACTGGGCCAGAGAGACCTGAGAACGAGCCCATCTCCTACAGGCACAGCTGTGCCCTGAACTAGCTTTTGGCCAGCTTCAAAATTTGATCAAAAACATCCTTAAGACCCAGAGGGCCCCAGCGTCAAGTCTATAGTTCACGGCCCAGCACCACTGTCCATCCAGCAAGTGGCAGTGCTGGCTCGGCTAACCCAGGGCACGAGGCCGGCACAGGCTGGCTGTGCTCCACACTCCCAGCCCCCAGCTCCAGCCCCAGCCTAGCTCTTGAGACTTTTACCCACTGCCTACTTACTTTTTAATTAGATTTTTAAACAAAAAGTGAAAGTATTTTCTAAAACCCCTCTAATTACACTAAGATCCTGAACTGATTGTGAAGGGAATAGGAAATGAAAGCGACTCACCCTCTGAGGGAGAATTTTGTCAGCCATCTTCCTCCTCTTGGCACTGTACATTTTTTAAAGAAAAAAACACGTTACCATGGTGACAGATCTAGGAGTAACGAGGCCACCTGCTAAATTATCCTGACATCTCCACATGCTGGTGCACAGCTGTGCATGCATCAGCAAAAGGGTCTCACCCATGCCCAGGACCTAGGACCCCTTCTCTCAGCAGCCTGGGGAGGTAGTTAGCTAAGAACAAATCAGGGCTGTCTGTTATGCATCTTGGAAAGAAGTGTGCAAGTTCTTTGATCACAGCATCTTCTATGGTGCCGGGCAGTAATGTATGCAAGTGCATGTGCACATGCTGTCTGTGGATGCAGAAAAAGCATGTAGGAGGACAGTGTGCATGTGTGAAAACGGCACAGATACACCTATGCATATGCACATGTAAGTGGTTGAGTGCCTGTAAACAGAATGTGAACTTGTTCAAACAGATGATGTGCATTCATTCATTCATGCCCGAAACTGAGTGCTGATGAAAACACGTATGTGTATTCCATATGATGTATGAAAACACATATACACACCCTTCCCTACATGTACACATTTGTTTTATTATAATGTATTTGCACGAGTGATATGCAAAGGTGATGATATGCAAAAGGGCTTACGTTTCCACATTTTTCATCTTTATGAACATACAAGTGGAAAGATATGAGTGCCTGCTGTGTATATACATAATGTGTCCATACCCGTATGTAAGCACATTTACAAATCTATGCTTTTAAAAACATCCTTGTATTCGTGAACATAGACACAAATGTATATGTGCCTAAGAAATGGTTCTGTCAGGGTGATTGCCAAATACATTGTCTTTTGAACTCTTCAGATTCTAAAACCTGTTTGTGCCCACCAAACCTGTCATCTAGCTCTCTCTAACAAGGCCAAGAAGGAATTCAGGCCTTGTTCTTCACCTCTATAATTTGTAAGGCCTTTATCTTAAGCAGGAAATGAATCATTCCATCTGTGACAGACAACTGGGAGAAAACAACTGTCTGCTACCACTCTGCCATGTCACACGGATGCCCCTCCTTACTGTTTTTATACAGGAAGTCTGTCATCAGCTATGTCCACGTAAAAATTGTTTCCATGCACATTGCTGTGGCATACTCCCTTCCTACATTTGCTAATAAGAAGCCTGGCCTGAAATACCACATCCTTAGATTCTCTTCCATGCCCATGGAAGCCAAGCCTGAGGAACTCTTTGTGCCCAGAGGTGCAAACTACATCCTTCCTCAGGGGCAGAAAATTCATCCACACAGTCACACCCAACCTTGTAGGTGAAAAATGTCCCTTTTTAAAAGTGTATGAATGTTATATGGTGTGAACCTCCAACGCCTTCCACAGCTCACAAAATCAAATCTGCAACACTTCACAGAATATGGAAGTAATGCATGAACAAACTCCACCTTCCCAAAGGGAAATGGGATATGCACACATATGCAACAACCCCAAAGGCTTGCAATTAAAAAGCAAATATCAAGCAAACCGAAAAAGCCCCAACAACTTGGGTCTCAACCAGTTCTCCTAGAGTCTATTACAGAAATGAGATTTTGGTCTCCACCAAACCTGCCAAGAAAGGGTGACTACATCTTTTTGGCCTGTTTGTGCCATACAACACAGGAGTCTATTACTCCCAGAATTGCACCTAAGGTGTCAGGAAAATTTGCCTGAAAAAAAAAAAAAAAACAAACCAGAAAAATTTCAATGGGAAACAACAGGGAGGCATAAATGAACAAGAGGGAAATATTCAACACATTATCTGGGGGGAAGACATGGCAGAAGAAACAGAGAAACATTCCTGGGTACCCAGGAAGCACTAGCGTGAGCTGGACTCACTACATGAGAGATCACTGTTGGGTTCCAAATGAGAAGCGCAGAAGTTGAAAACTGGGGAGGGGGAACACTTCTTCTGTGAGTTACGACATCTATTTTTAGAAAATACTTTTCTTTAATGATCCCTGGAAACTAGTAAATGACTAAAGTTTACCTTAATTAAACAGCAGTGGCAATTTTTTAGGTTATATCTACCCTGTATATTTGAGGGCTAGGCATTATTTTGTGCAGTTTCCAGGAGTACCTCCTGGGAGGTGCTGTGGAACATGCATTTTGCCTAGTGCTGGGCAAGGCCTCCAACATGCACATGCATTTCCTGTGCTCATGTGCTGCACTCATACACATTCCTTCTGTATTCAATCTTATTCAATCATAATATATCAATACTCTCAGGATTGGTGTCCTTTCCAGATGCATCCCAGATACAAGCATTCCCAAGTCTGGCTTGCTGATCCAAGGCAAATAACTCAGAAAGAGCAGGGTTTCTAAAGCACTGAGCTAAGAGAACCATGTTTTACCTACAATTGGATATGACGACACCACCAGAACGTTGTCTTAATCTATATATAGACCTATACTGATTTTGCAAAAGGCAGATCACCTAGATGTCTGCTGTATTTATCAGGAACTGGCTCACACTAGGAACCCAAGACTGCTGAGGTTAATAAGTTGCAGAAAGAAATTAGCTGTTATTTAAGAGAGAATGCATTCAGCACTGTACAAAGTGGCATATTTTAAAAAGAAAGTTCCTGTAAAAAAAAAAACAACTCAATGATATGAAATTATTTTCTATGCATATCTCTTTACTTTATATGCAGGAATGCCTGTGACAATTGCAAGTTTTACAACCGCTCTCCTGAGTAACTATAGTACAAGAATTCACATGATGAATGAAAATTTTTTTCTGTCTTGTTTACAAACCATTTTCTTAGCCAGTCAGAAAGTAGAGAAACTATACACACCAGATAACAAATAATGCAGTAATTGTACTATATTAGAAGAGATCTGTTCATAAACTTTAAAGGCTAAATATAACAGCCAGGTTTATAGCCCGATAAACCTGTGAGGTAAAAGCACTGTAACTGCAAAGCCAGACATTAGTAAAGGTCAGTTTGCTCAAGATCATTCACAAAGTAGAGAGTAAAATTTACCAATGTTTTTCCTGCTTTAAGAAACAGACAATATCTAAACCTTCTATCCTGTCTTGTTTGATCTTAAAGGTGCTACCTATTGCTAAAAAGGTATCGTTTTTTTCTTCCTCAAATTGTCCTCCCATATTTTCTTCCTGGAACACTCACCTCCTGGTTCGGTTCTGAGTGGCTTGCTGCTGCTGTTGCACTTGCTGCTGCACCTGCTGCTGCTGGACCTGCTGTGGTGCAGTGCGTTTTCTTGTTGTTTCCATCACGGTCTGGGGCATCCCAGGTCGCACTGAGGGGCTTCCAACGTATGGAGGACCTGGGGGACCCATGGGAGCCCCCTGATGGGGCATTCGAGCTCCTGATGGCATCCCAGGTCGCTAGAGAGGAACCGAAACAGAAAGAAGAGCCAGTTTGGTCCCTGTTTCTTCAGCTTCTAAGACATTTGTACTTAATCAAACACTAGCTCCAGCACATTCCCCATTTTAACCATCCTGTAAACACTAAGCAGCAACACGGAGCACATGAGCTCTGCACTGGTATTTCCTGGATATAGTAAAGAGGCATTCAGTGATAAAGTAGACAGGAAAGAAGGATGAAAAATACTAGGCTTGGGAAAACACTCAGTGGTCAGTAACAGGTCCAGACCAGCTTACAGAAGAAAGCTCTACCTTCGGATCGAAGGAAAAGCTCCATGGCAGCTACACGCAGCCCGGATTGGTGCAGTTCACATGCTAATCAAGCCACAAGCAAGCTCACATCTACACCGCTTCAGATTCTGCACTGACTAGCAGGCTGCTTTGATCAGAAGGGAGACTGTAACAAGCAAAGGTGAACCCTGAAACACTATGGTAAAACATTTTCCATTAAGAGCCCTCTCCTTCACCTACACTGGAGAGCAGTGTAAGTTCATAAAGTGACAAGCATCTTTTAAGAAAAGGTGATGCCTCTATCAAGCCTCTAAAATAAAAATAAATAAAAAAAAAAAAAAAAAAGGAATGTGGTAGTTTGTCAGCAGCCCCTATAGGCATTCTAAGTCCTGACATCTATGTTGACTTCAGCGTGCTATGGAGAGACATTCAGGGTCAAATCACAAGCTTAATGTTGATCAAGACACAGTAAACTCGGTTCTAAATCCTAGAAGTTTGTAGTCATCATGGAAAAACACCAGTAAAATAATTACCACCTGTAAAATACAATTTAAAACAGAACGAAGAGTTTAGTTTCATTCTAATTATCAAGATGCTTATTATCTGTCTACATATATATGAAAATACAGAGAAATGCACATATAGCCTATAGGCATCTGAACTAGTATATGAATAAAGATAATTACATACACACACACAAAAAAAAAAAAAGTATTTTGAAAGTAAAGTCCCTCTACAAAGTCTTTTAAGGGAACCAAGAGGCAGTAGCATCCATTATGGATAAATGAGGTAAAGTAATTGTTTCTGAAAAGGAAGGCACATGCAGTGTGTTGCTGGGACTCACGCTTTTCAGCATATTCATAAGCAACCTAGGAGGGGAAGAAGGGAGGGACTGAAAAAAAAGGAAAAAATAAGAGAGAAAAACAAAGGCAAGGAAGTGAAAAAGTTTGTTGATAATGTTAAGTTATTCAAGCTGGCAAGGATGAAGGCCAGGTTCAAAGAACTGCAGAAGGACTTTTATGAGACAGAATGAACGTTAAAAAGGAAGATGAAAATGGATTTCAATACATATTGAAGTGAATAACATGGGGGAAAACCAATCCAGTCATCATATACAAAACAATGGGCTCTGAGCTGACTGTAGCCCAACAGAAGCATGATGTTAAACAGCTATGTCCAGGAAAAAAAAAAAAAAAAAAATACAGCAGTTCACTGCTTACTAGAGGTCAAAAAAAAAGCCATTAAACAAAAGAAATTACAAGGAAGGGAACAGAAAACATCACTGTGCCCCTGTCCATAGTTTGCCCACACGATGAATGCTGCATGTAGCTCTGGTTCCTGCAGGTACCAGTAGAGTAAAACTGAAGAACAACAAAGAATGGCACAGAAATGATTAAGATACGGAACTGCATCCAAGTAACTGAAAATAAATACACTATGATTTTCCATCACAAAAGAGGTAATCTGAGGGGGGCATTTACTAGAGCTCTGCAAAATCATGAGTGGCCTGGAGATGGCAGTTGGGGATTGACTGTTCAGTGCCCCGAGAATAATGAAGTTCAGTCATCAGAGTTGGTTAGGTGTCAGGCTCTCAGACAGCCAAAAGGTATAGTCTGCCTCGCAGTGGGTAGTCAGCCTGTGAAACCCCTTTCCAAAGAGGTGCTAATGACATGGAAAACATATTTGGCTCAGAAACGTCACTGTTATCGACAGTTAAAGCCAAGATAAAGTACTGGGGAGAAGTACACTAGTGGTCTCCAAAGGGAGGTGCTTGCACCACGGAGGGTATGCAGGACAGTCCATTGGGAGATGGGAAGAAAAAGGTCTTTGCACCACTAATAAATAAAATAAAAATTTAAAAAATAGTTTAATCTTTATATCACCCTTTTATAATTAAATATGTAATTATAATATATAATTACATATTATTCTAAACATAATTTGGACCTGCATCTCCAAATTAAGCACTCAAATGCACTGCAGTCCCCAAAGCCCCAGCTCAGTGCCCTCCCTGATCATCACAAGTCTTCAACATTCCTTGCATTCATATGCATGAAGAAGGGGAATGATCAGCAAAGAACTAACGGTTACAATCGGTATGGAGAGAGGAAGAAGGCTGAGGTAGGAGACAGACCAACAGCAGATGAATTCAGCAAGTATTCATGTATGAAACTGGTTGTGGGTCTGGCCACTGAGCAGAGAAGCAGAAGGAAGCAGCAAAAAGGCAAAGCCTAGGCTCTGTGCAGAGCTGGAAACATCTCCCATAAACACAGAGCTATGAAAACTGCTGGAACAGAGCAGCTCTCTCCGTTCCCACGTACTCACACCCACCCTCTGACCCAGGCAGAGTCAGCAGGAACAAATGGCCCAGAAAATGCTTCTCACTTAAGCTTGTACTTAACATCTCTCTGTTGTCTGTCAACCTACACCTCCTGGCCTTCTTCCAGCAAAGAGCAGACCACTGGGCCTGCTGTTGCCTGTCAATCAGCTGGGGACATTTGACAGTCATTCGAGAGAGACAAGATCCCGAGCACTCCCATCTCATGTTCATCCCTCATGGAGACTGTCTGGCCACAAGGATCAGACTGCAAGCCCGCTTTCCTGCTACTATGAAGGACACCTTAAGGCCTGGAGAACAAGGTCAGCAAGCCAGGCCTACTCTCAGTCTAAGTCTGAGGTCTTTGAACTTCCTTCAGTTTTCTTTGTTACACATCAAAATAGGAAAAACACAGAGAAATGACAAAACTGAGACTGCTCTAGTAAAAGCATATTCAATTTCCCTTGTCATGTTCCCATCTCTAATATCACCCACAGAAGAAATGTAACACTGCACAATTGCCATCTCCCTGGTGCAAGCCCACCAGACTTCCAAGATACAAAAATGTTTTCTCTATGTAAACTTGTAAAAGGAGAACACACAAGCAGTAGCTTACATATTTAAAAGCTTATTTTGCTCTGTAACACACGTGCAAGATAAGGCAGTGACAGATAATACACTGAATTTTTCACAATATTGACATTAAAAAGTCTTCATACGAAAGAGTACTTCACTACCATTATGTCTTTTGAAAGAAGGTGCACCTATCTAGGGGTCAGGATCTGTCTTCCCTCTTCTCAGAGGGATACAATCTGTCCTGAACAGGTATCTTCCATGGTAAATGCTGCAGTACAAAACAGCACTGACACATCCTCCTTCCTAGGAAATCGTTTACCCTAGACACCTCTACCTGACCCAACTGTTCTTACCCACATACCTAACCACTTTTTTTCCTGCATTGACTCCATATACATATACTCTGCAGTACGTCAAACACTTTAATGGACAGAGGGCAAAACCACTGTGGGCCATAGGAAATGAGGATCACGGCATGTCCCCTGCTGAAGGGACCACTCTCACAGTCCTGAGAAGATGAAGAGTAGCGCAGAGCTGCCTGGAGAGCAAGGACAAAGAGTACAGCACTTAGAGAGCAAGGGAGTTGGAACTAGATGATCTTCAAGGTCCCTTTCAACCCTAACAATTCTGTGGTTCTGTGAAAGGCACACAACCAGTATTTCATGGTTGCACACTGGTCCCTAAGAGTTCTGCTGACTGCCTGCACTACTGTACACAGTCTACCACTGCCCGACTGCACCCTTCCAAAACTAAGCACACTGTCAGTGCCACAAGCATACCACCTCCCTCCCCAACAACTGCTGCCAAGTCCCTGTCGCTACCGTCCACTGCCCAGTTTCCAAAGCCACACATCTGGCTTTTCTACTTTCTTCCCTGCCTGAACCTTCTATCAGATCAGATGACAGTTTCTTTCCACTTTGCCATTCTTCAAGTGAACTTCTCCTCCCTGGTGGCAGAAATGAGACAGAACTGGAGTGGTGCTTTTCTATGTATTTCTGCTGCAGTCTTTTCTCCAGGGACATCACCATCATAGTGACCAAAATGCTGAAGCAGAAAAAAGGATTCCTGTCTGGACATACCAGATAGAGGAAAATAACCTGGAGAACTGACAGGTAAAAATGTCAAGAAAAGAAGAGCAAAACCACCTACAAGATCCTCAGAAAGAGACTGAACAGAGAGCAGGAAGTCACTGCAATGCCATGTAGCATTGAGCTGCACCTACAGCAATTTCTTCTGAAAGACTCAGACTTTATCCATGTTTGTACCACACAGAAGGACTCTGATAGCATGCAGTGAACAGCCATGGGCTTCTTGTTAACGGAGCAACTGGCAGATTTTGAGAACAACAATAATTACCAAGTATACAAACAGCGTATTTTTTTACCTAAAAATAGAAGCTACCTTGGCCAGACAATATATCCTGCTAAGGCATTACAGTAGCTACTGATTTCTATAGGGCATAAGCAAAAGCAAGGGGAGATGCCAGATGCTGTCTGGAGGTACAAATGGGTCACTAGAAGTATCTGAAACAACTAAGAAATTCAGACTAGACTGATGCTTCCTGATGGCAACAGGTTTCTGACTGCACAAATGGTTTCCCAGGCAGCTTCTCTCCTCTTCCTATAACTGCAGATGTTACTTCATATGAATTCCCTTTTAAAAATCTATGAATCTTTTAGAGATTTAGTAAGGAGAAACATCAGTATTGCAATTCTTTTAGGTTGTCTGCCATATTCACCTTCCTCCATTTCCCAAAATCTTTCACATCCTGGAATAAAGGTCCAAGTGTTCCAGGTTCCACTCAACTTTAAATAATGTTCACAAAAATCCAAAAATCTTTAACTTAAAACCCATCACATTTACAGAAATTGCAACTTGAGAAGAAGTTTCTATTTCATATATGTCCATTCATGGCTCAGAATAATCAGACATCAAACTGCAAATGAAGCATTTGTATGCATCCAAGAAAGAAAAACAAAACTATCTTTGGAACTGAAAGTAACAAGTCCTATATACCATTGAGTTCCATCAGCTTGCTCATTTTAATAGATCTGATTACATCCACTACTGTGATGATACAATGAATGAAAAGGATTTTGTGTGAAGAACCATCAGAACACACCTTTTCACTCTGTAAAAAGGAATGTTTGACAAGGGAGAAGTAACAGAGCTCTCCAACAGCATAAGTATCATGGAAAGAGAGGAGACTGATCAAGAGCTCACTGTCTCTTCCCTGACAAGAATTAGCAGTTGGCAGGACCAACAACTTCCTTATGCAAGATAAGCTGCAAAAATTCCTGACACAAAACCCTGTGAATGCTAAAAGTTTATATGGGTTCAGGAAGACATCCACAGACTAACCTACACGGATAAAATCCATGCAGAGATACCATGCATAGAGGGCAGCTCTGGGTCAGAAAGCTCTAGAGCTACAAAATGCTAAGTATTGAGATCAAGCATCACTACGTTTTTGCCTTGTTCTTGTACTTCCATGCAGTCTTCTGCAACTGAGTACCCTGGGCTAAATGATCCAGTGTGACTGTTTTCATATTCCTACAGTATTTCTTAAAAAAAAACCAAACAACTAACCAAACTAAGAAAATAAAAAAGGGAAAAAACACCACCAAAACCAACAAAAACGGAAGAGCAATTCAAACCTTTCACAGATTGATTAGATCGATTACATCTATGGACTTATATTCATCAGCAAATCCAAGATTTCTCAATGAGCAACTCAAATTTATTTAACAAGCCAATACTGCACAAAATCACACTGATCTCTACTGAAGCCCTAGCTATAACTAATATAATCAATACAATTTTCTTTTCTTACTTGTGTGTGAACTTTTCTGTATTTGCTAGCCTGCAGTTAGTCCAGGGCTAGGAAAGGACAAACCTGCCATTTCTGTTCGTACCTTACTTACATGGCTGAACACTGTATGGTGTTTTCACCCTCCCAGTCTTCTGCAAATACCCACCAAACCAAG